TAGCTAGTCAGGTGGTAGCAGTAGTACAAGCTTAAGAATTCAGTTGCCATCTCTGTTTTTTAAGTTGTGTGACCTTGAGCTCACTTTCCTCAACAGTTAAAAAGAAAACTTAATACTCTATCAAAAGTGGAAATGATATTGGTTATTAGAAATTCCTGAAATGTCAGCCAGATCAAATGTTTTAAAACCAGTGTGTTTAGAATTGTATTTAATGAAAATGAAAAAATTTTGTGCTACAAAGGATAGTATCAACAGAGTAAAAAAGGCAATCTACAGAATGGGAGAAAATATTTACAAATCATATAACTTAAAAGGAATTAATATTTAGAATATATAGAGAACTCCCAAAACTCAACAAGATAAAACAGGTGGATTCAAAAATGGACAAAGACTTGAATAAAGATTTCTCCAAAGAAAATGACAAATAGCCAATAAACACATGAAAAGATGCTCAACGTTACTAGATCTTAGGGAAACAAATCAAAACCAGTGTTAGAATGGCTAGTATCAAAAAGATAAATAATAAGTGCTGGCAAGAATGTAGAGAAAAGGATTCCCTTGGGCTAGGGTACTCTGTTGGTGGCAATGTAAATTGGTGCAGCTATTATGGAAAACAGTATGGAGGTTCCTCAAAAAATTTAAAAAAGAACTACCGTATGATCCAGCAATTCTACTTCTGAGTATTTATCCAAAGGAAACAAAAACACTAACTTGAAAATGTATATGTCCCCCCATGTTCATAGCAATATTAGTCATCATAGTCAGAACATGGAAGCAACGTAAGTATATCCATTGATGAATGAATGGATAAAGATGTGTTATATATAAAATGGAATATTTTTAGCCATTAAAAAGTCAATCTAGCCACTTGGGACAATGTGGGTAGACTGTGATGGCATTATGCTAAGTGAAATAAGTCAGGCAGAGAAAGCAAATACCATATGATCCCACTTACATGAAAAATGTAAAACAAAAAAAAAACCCAAATCACCACAGCAACAACAAAACCAAAGTCATAGATACAGAGAACAGATTGGTAGTTGCAGTGGGGGAAATGGCTCAAAAGGTACAAACTTCTAGTTATAAAATAAGTTGTGGGGATATAATGTACAACACGGTGACTACAGATAATAATACTATATTGCATATTTGAAAACTGCTGAGAGTAGATCTGAGAAGTTCTTATCACAAGAAAAGAAGTTGTAACTGTGTAGTGATGGGTGTTAACTAGATTTATTGTACTGATCATTTCATAACATATAAATTTTGAATCATGGCCATCTGAAATTAATAATTGTCAATTATATCTCAATAAAAATTAATAGAATTACCGTATGTTCCAACAATTCTACTGTGGTTACATACCTAAAAGAATTGAAGGGATATTTGTATACCCATGTTCATAGCAGCTTTATTCACAATAACTACAAGGTAGAATAGCCCGAGTATCCATCAGTGGGAGAATGTATAAGCAAAATGTGGTATATATGTACAATGGAATATTTTTTAGCAGATAAGGAAATTCTGACACATACTATGATATGGAAGAACCTTGAAGACATTATGCTAAGTGAAAATCACAAAAAGACACACATTATGTGATTATACTTTCATAAGGTACCTAAAGTAGTCAAATCCAGAGACAGAAAGTAGAATGGTGTCAAATGATGGTTGCCATGAGCCCAAGCAGAGGAGAAAGTGGGAGAAATATTGTTTAATGGGTATGGAGTTTCAGTTTTGCAAGATGAAAAGAGGTCTAGAGATGGATGGTTGTGTTTGCATAATGATAGGAATGTACTTAATATCACTTAAAAATGGTAAATGTTACATTACATGTATTTTATAATTTTTTTAATGGGGGTAAAATACAGTGTGTTGAATTTTACCAAAAAACAGAAGCAGAAGAATCTGTCCATCTCATTTATGAATAACACAAATACCAAAACCTAAGATAGTACAGCAAAAGAAATTATAGGGCAATGTCCCTCATAAATATAGATGCGAATATCCTTTACAGAATAATAGAAGATTGGATCCAGCAATCACAATACATCCATACCAAATAGGATTTATCCCAAAACCACAAAGTTGGTTTAACATTGAATGAATCAACACTGTTCACCACATGAGCAAAAAAAAAGGAGAAAAACCATATGGTCATTTCAGCATATGTGGAGAAAGTATTTGACAGTTCAACATCTATTTGTGACTAAGTAGTAGGGAACTTCCTCAGCTGATAAAGAGCACCCATGAAAAAAGCCTACATCTAACTTCATACATAGCTATTTCCCTGATAGTGTGAACAAAGCAAGGATATTTGTTTTCACCACTGAAATTTAGTATTCTTACAGAGAGCCCACCCACTACAGTGAGGCATAAAGATGGGGAAACTAGTAGAAGGTATAAAAATTGGAAAAGAAGAAATGAAACTGCCCGTTTGCAGTTATGTAATTGTTTACATAGAGAATTCCAGTGATACTAAAAAATTTCATAAGGTCATAAACTGCAAGGTTAATACACAATAATTTATTACCTTTTAAAAATATACTTCATTTTATACATATGATAGAGATCAAGCCAGCTTCACTAACTTCCCAATATTATAAATATAAAAGTTTGAAAGAATCATACAGTGAACACACACATAGTCACTGCCTAGATTCTATATTTTATTATATTTAATTTTGCCATACCATATATACATATGCCCATCTGATCCTCTCCCTATCAATCTACTATAGTTTTATTCTTTCCAAAATAAGTTGAAGACATCAGTATGTTTCACTTGAAAACACTTCAGTATTTGGTTCATTAAAGTTCCAATATTTGTATGCTTTTTTGTATGCAATCTTTGTTTTTCCTTACAGCAAAGTTTGCATACAGTGAAAACTAAATCATAACTGTATCATTCAGTGATTCACTTATGTAATCAAAACTCTTATTAAGATATAGAACATTTCTATCATCTCAGTAAATGCCCTTAGGCATCCCTTCCCTCAACCTCCAGAGATAACTATGTTTTGATTTTCTTTTAAACCATAAAACCAACTTTCACCACTAGATTTCTTTAATTACCCCAACCAAATGAAGTAGAATTTCATTTTAGTTTCTGTTTTAGCTTTTTAGTTAAATCTGTGTATGTGTGTGTGTTTATAAGCGATTCATCTAGAAATTGCATTTATATCTTTAACTTTTCACAATTTGCTTCGGGTTGATACTGTACAATTTCATATATTAGTTCAAATGAACTTTGCACTATATAGTTCCGCTTACCCCTAACATTTATTCCTTGTGCTGTAATTTTCATACATATTACATTTATATATTCTATAAACCCTGTAATACATTGTTACAAATTTTCCTCTGGTCATAAGTATTCTAAAGATGGTAAGAAAATGTAATCTTTTAAATTTACATTTTTTAGTTATCTTTGTTTTTTTCCTGAATATTTCCAGGTAAAATATGCATCTGAACTCAGTCCCCAAAGTTTGTCATCCCTGCAGTGGGTAGCATCAGAAATCTCTGTTTTGTTAGCATTAGCTGGGCTGCTTAGAATCTCCCCACATACACATATTTCATAGGTCAACCAGTGATTTGGGCAGAGTGAATATGCAGAATTTGGGGCTCCCTTTATATACCCCCTCTCTGTGATTTATTCCCCTTTTATGCTTTCTAGATCTCTGCTATCCAGTGAAACTTTCTGTCATACTAGAAAATGTTCTATAATCTGTATTGTCCAAAATGTTACTCACTTGCTACATGCCACTGTTGACTAGGAAATGAAATTCCTTAGTTTAATTAATCTACATTTAAATATAAATATTCACCTTTTTCTAGTGGATACTGTATTTAGTCTGTCATTGTTGAAAGTTCTATTGCACGGCACTGTTGCAGATGCTGAGGTTGTCGTAAGCTCTGCCCTCATATTCCTCAGCTAATAAGGCTACAGGTTTCTATCCAGTTTGAGGTGACCTGCACAGTCAGACTGGAGCCTCCCCTCAGCTGAACAGATAACAGAGTATGACACTCAAGCAGTGCTTTCCCTTTTTTGTCATGTGAACTACCCTCCAGTTTATGCCTGATTTTGGCTGCTCTTCTGAGTCTTCAAGTAGTTGTTTCATGTATATATATTTTACTAGAGTTTAATTAGCTCTGTATCCAATAAGATTTGCTCCACCATTTACCAGAAGTCAAACTCTACCTCTTAACTTTTGAATCATTTTAGTAGTGATCTATTTCTAAAGAATTCATTTTTTTTGTGCTTTTTGTTATATGAGAATTCACTTACCAACCTATTGTTAACCTATTCCCTTTAACCTTACTAAAAGTTTCACTAACCTTTAAGGTTACTGAATCTTAATACTCTAAATTTGATATTCCTGTCTCAGATATGCTATAATTTAATGGAATTCCTCAATGCAGTAAACTCATATCATTGATAATCTGTTTGGTATACCTTTCCTTGTCTAGGTACTTGAAAAGGTTTAAGGTGATGAAGATCAAAGTTCTAAGAAGCTGGTGCCGTCAGATCCTTAAAGGACTTCAGTTTCTTCATACTCGAACTCCACCTATTATTCACCGAGATCTTAAGTGTGACAATATCTTTATCACTGGCCCTACAGGCTCAGTCAAGATTGGAGACCTAGGTCTGGCAACCCTGAAGCGGGCTTCCTTTGCCAAGAGTGTGATAGGTATGTTTCAGGTGTTATGTTGTAGCCTAACTGGCTTTCTGACATTCCTTTTATTTGGAAACCTGACTCTGTCAGCTTTTATTACATGAAATAAACCTTCAGAAATTCATAGCTTGAACCCAGGAAGCAATCAGTGCTACTTAGGGGACACAGAGTTCTCTGTATCTATGCTTCTAGAATCATCTTGAAACTATTGATGTTTTGTTAAGTTGTATGAAGAGAAGTAAGATGAACTTTGTTGGCAAAACCTTATGTAATTATCAATCTTACTGGGTCATTTTGTTGATACTTAGTATTACATACTTACTTTTTTAATAGATACAGTATATTGCTTTCATCATAAAATAGAATTTTTATGTAGTTTAGTTTCCAGAGAAGTCTGTTGGATATATATATATATATATTCAAAAATACCTGCCTATTAACACTTTATTTTTAAATGTGAAAATATGACGGTTTATTCTGAAAGTTTCTTTTTACCAGCTTTCTTCTTTTTCTTTCCCTTCAGAAGATACAATATATCTAAAACAGGGTTTTTCACCCTCAGTGCTACTGACATTTTGGATTGGACAGTTTGTTGTAAGGACAGTCTTGTGCATTGTAAGATTATTGAACAACATTTCTGGCCCCTAGATGCCTGTAGCACATATGCTTTCCATCTCCTCCCCCAGTTGCTATAACCAAAAATGTCTCAGGATATTGCTAAGTGCCCCTGGGTGGCAAAATTGCTCCCTGTTGAGAATCACTGATCTAAAGAACAAGGCTGTCTTTTCTGACTAAAGTTAATATGAGAGAGTTAGAGCTGGAAAAATAATATAATGCTTATTATTTTGATAAGCTTTTGCTCTCCAGAGAGGGTGTGACAATTTGAAAATGTGAAGTGTTCACACTCTACTCTCCCCAAAAGGTGACGATGACAGCAACAAAAAAATCACTAATTTTTAAGAGGGCTTGATTCTTACATATTAATTTTAAAAAGCATACGAGCACCAGTAATTTGCACATTTTTATAAAGTAGTGTTCTCCTTGGAATATTATGTAACTTTGATTTAGAATGCTGTTTTTACATTTTCTCTGATAATAGATTAACAAGAAGAATAGGAAGATAATTATTTAAAGCTGAATTTCTTTTTTTGCCTTCCTTAGAGGAAACATTTCTTTATCTTTGGCATCTTAAAAATCTGGCCCAAGAGAGGTTTTTTCTCTCTCTTTTTGTTTAAATCATAATGTGCAAGTCTGTTCTTGGAAATGTCCCATAATTTGAGGTACCCAGACTTAATTTCTTTGGAAACATTGAAACACTTGGTCTGTGGGCTCATACCCACTGTGCTCAGAACTCAGAATGTATTTGAGTCCTTTATTTGCATGTATGTATGTGTTTTTTGTCTGCAGGATGTCCCTCACTATATTTCTTGTGTCTGCAGTAGGCTTATTTGTGTACTGCAGGTAGGATGGTATGTGAAGAAAGGGGTGAGTGGTCCTTACAGACAATTGTACTTTATTATATTTAAAACATTGAACATAACATTTTTCACTGCAAGGCCTCCTTAAAAGTGAAACTGATCAGGTGGAATGTTAATGGCAAGAGACTAGTTATAATGTTAACCTTACAACTACTATACAGTAGGGGGCAGACAAGTATTTTGATCTTTTTTAACCTAGGTCCTATTTTACAGGTAGATGCTAGTATATCTATTCCTTGCTAGTCTCTTATCTTTTCCTTCTATTTATGAGTTATACCAGCTTATTTCTTATCCACAGTTCTACTTTTGACATTGTATAACAGTAATCCATTTGAAAAAAATGAATAGACACTTGACCCGGTTCCAGCTTTTTTAATGAAGGCCTTGCAGTGGAAGATCTGTAAGATACTGGATGAAACAGACTAAGATTTCCTTCCTCTTTATCCCTGTCTCCTCTCTCTCTTTCTTTCTCTATCCCTCTCTTCCCCTCCGCGTCCTCCTCCACCTCCCTCCCTTTCTCTCTCTCTTCTCTCCTCCTCTCCCTCCCTCCCTTCTTTTTCTCTCCCTTCCACTTTTTTCTCTCACAGGTCAATACCTCTCCTTATACCCCAGGTGAGTAACATCTGCACCTTCTCACATTGAAACTGAATCGTTCTTTTAATTTAAGGTACCCCAGAGTTCATGGCCCCTGAGATGTATGAGGAGAAATATGATGAATCTGTTGACGTTTATGCTTTTGGCATGTGTATGCTTGAGATGGCCACATCTGAATACCCTTATTCAGAGTGCCAGAATGCTGCTCAGATCTACCGTCGAGTGACCAGTGTAAGTCTTCCCCTAACTGATTGATGAGCTTAGGTCACATCTCAGAAGGAATCCCAAGCTAAATAACAACCTTGCAAAAGGAAACAGTAATAGAAAGCATACTGGGGTGTTGGGTGAAGAGGGAGTTAAGATATTTTATTGCTCATGATATAGTGAGAAAAAACATAAAATCAGAGAAGCACCAGTTTATCCTGGACCCTCCTTGCTTTCATTTAAACCTTCATTAGAAAATATGTTTAAGAATACTCCCATTACCTATTTCTAACCCCCTGTTTATTCATCTAAATTCTCATTCCCTCAAATCATAAAGCTTATTATCTAAGTTAAAATCAAGGCTCTTAACTCAGTCTGCTTTGTTCATAGACTTTTCCCTGAATGGCTTAAAATTGATTTATCAATTGATGAAAGCATTTATAAACCCCAATGTTTAAGGTGTAAATTAAAACCTTGTTTAATGTAAATGACACAAGATAGTTAATCTGCCAAAAGAGGTATTTCCTAGTTGTCCAGTTGAAACCTGAAGCATAGTTCTTAGGACTATAATCATAAAGCACTAAAGAAGTTTACTACAAAAATGTGGAGGCTTTACACAAATGACATGAAAGTTAAACCAAGTAATTACACTTAGTAATTTTGTTTTGAAAAGTTCAAACAAGTGAAAGTAGTGAGACTAGTACAATGAATTATCATTTATTAGATGCAACTTGAAATCGGGACCATTTTCGCTGTATTTCATTTGTCATCTTTCTTTGTTTTGCTTTCCCATTATGTTCTTCATTGTGCTTCTCTGACAAATAAAGATACTTTTCTTAGGTAACCATGTCATACCTGAAAAAATTAACAGTAATTTCCATATCATCTAATACACTAACCTGTTCGGGCATTTCCCCTGTTGTTTCAGAGGTACCTGTTCATAGTCACTGTTCAAATTAGAGTCCATCAAGGTGCACAGAAGACATTTTATGTTTCTTTGTCTTAAACTATTGCCCCCACTTTCTTTTTCTATGTTCTATTGATTTAATGAAGAAAATCAATGACTTTTTTAAGTATAGTTTGATATACAATATTATATTGGTTTCAAGTATACAACACAATGATTCAACCATTAGCCACATTATTAAATCCTCACCCCCCACTAGTGTAGTTACTATCTGTCAACATAGAAAGATGTTATAGAACCACTGACTATTTTCTCTGTGCTGTACTTCCATCCCTGGTTAGATGACTTGTTTTGAAGAATGTTTCACATTCTGCAATTATTGATTTGCCTCCTTGTCATTTAACTTGTTACTCTCTCTTCCATATTCCTGTAAACACAAATTTACCTTAAAGTAGTTGGAGGGATGCCAGTGATGTAAAAATAGTTTTGTCTTTTTCACTCATTTGTACAAGAACATAGTGTAGTTTTCCAGAGAACATAAATGATGTATGATATTGCCACAGATTAAATGAAACAGTTATGACAATCCATTTATTTTCTCTTAAGCCATACATTACAAAGGTTGTAAAATATAAAACAATACCAGTAGATCTTCTCACTAAGGTTTTTTTTGTTTTGTAAAATTTTGAGTTTTTTGTTTTAAGGTTATGTATTATTATCATATACTGGATTTATTATAATTTTTAATGAATTAATATTTTAAGCTTTCTTGGTTTTAATTTCTGACATCATAAGCATCAGTAATTATAGGGCACATAAACAAAAACCCTTTAGGGTCCTCAGTAATTTTCAAAAATATGTGTCCCAAGGGAAACAAGTTTGAGAGCCACCGTTCCAAAGGCTTGATAAAATTTAGGTTAAAAATTTTTTGCAAGAATACTTAATATGTGGTGCTGTGTATTTCATGTATGTCAAGAGGCACATAACATCTAGTTAACCCATTTTTAATGATGCAATTTCATTGAATTTTAATGTATTAAATGATGTGTTTATGAAGTGCTTTAGATTTTGACAGTTGGTTAAATGGTAGTTTTGTGTATTTCTAGAAACTGATGGGAAACATTTTGCTTTAGGTAGACGAAATCAGTTTTGCATCTTCACAAAGGCTTGAGAAATCTTTGGTTACCTCATTAATTATAATTACTATGACTATTCCTTAAAATTTTTTTTTTGGTATGTTTGTATGTGGTAAGTTCTATTTCAAGTATACAACACAATGATTCAACTGTTAGCCACATTATTAAATCCTCACCCCCCACTAGTGCAGTTACTATCTGTCAACATAGAAAAATGTTATAGAACCATTGACTATTTTCTCAGTGCTGTACTGTCTTTTGCTCTTCTTCATCTTCTTCTAAACACTTTTTTTAGTCAAGTCATTCCTGTTATCTTGCACAGCTGCTATTTCATTTCCTTTATTCCTATGGTAAATAGCCTACCCTATGCCCAAAGATAAAAGGGACAATGTAAATTATTATGCAGATTTTGTAATGGGTTGGAGCTTAGTTTGGGCAGTTTATTTTATTCAGCATTAATGGTGAGGACCATTAGGGTCTTTGTAACAAATAAAAATAATAGAGATTGTTTGCATATAAGGGAATATACTCTCAAAGTACCCCTGGCCTTGTAACTGCAATGGTATTTTATCAGTTATTGTTACTGTCTCCAGCTCTCTGTCCTAAGGCCTTACTATTAGTTTATCAGCCTCTTTTCAATGTCCACGTATCCCATTCCATCCCAGTTTCTAATCCATGATAGGCCTCTCCAAAGCAGTGATCCTCAATGCAGTCTGGTTGGGAGCTGGAAAAATGTAGTTTGTATAGCCTTCAGATATTCCTGAAGTATCCTAATAATTATTGTACAGTTTTGCCCTTAGAATGCTCATTTGCTTTCCCTCTTAAGAGTTCTCTCTATTCCAAGTTCAGGTCTTTTATGAAGATTCCCCTTTCTTCTCCCAATGCATAATAATTTACATTTTCCCTTTTATCTTTGGGCATAGGGTAGGCTATTTACCATATGATTAAATCCTTTATTTTATTTAGAATTCTTGAACTCTTCATGAAGTTTATTGCTTTTTTTACTCACTACCAGCTTATCAGGTTCTTGCTTTAGAAAAACTCTTAGATCCAAGCCTTCTTCATTGCCATTGTCAGAACTCTTGATTTCATATCTTCCTTACTTCATACCTTATGCTGTCTTCCAGAAGTAGTTACATTATTCATTTGTTTTTCTGCTTCACTTAAACCAGTTGAATCTTTTTGCTACCTCTTCCTAGTGTAAGGAACTTCTGTGATACCAGATTGCTTATCAAAGCATGTACAAATTTTTAATACTATCTTTTGCTCTTCTTCATCTTCTTCTAAACACTTTTTTTAGTCAAGCCATTCCTGTTATCTTGCACACATGCCATTTCATTTCCTTTATTCCTATCCATTTGTAATGATATTTGCCTTCTCTATAAGCTTTTCTGCTGTCCAGTCAGTCCTTATGCTATACTTAAGAAGATTTCTTCCACCAAATTTTATCTGATTGGCTTCACTGCATGATCATCTTTGCCTTCTTTGAGCTGAGATTATCAGTTGATCCAAGTTAAAGAATTTTATTTGCAATTGATTATTTTACTTATGAGTTCGTAAGTTGAATTAATGTGTGAAGCATTTAAAAGAGTGCTTGCTGTTTATTATTTTATTGCTTTATATTCTTAAAAATTTGTAATCTTATGTCTACAAAGTATTTATGTTTATCTTTATCCCTAGCACTATCCCAAATAGAAGCCTCAAATGCAAATGTAGACATTATTTGAATTCTCACTATGTGCCAGGTCCAGAGCTTCACACCAGATGATTATAGATAAATAACATACATATTCCCTGTCTTCAGAAAACTAGCTCTAATATAGAACATAAATGTGTAAGCACACATAATTACAGTTGTAATTATGGTATGACGAGTATTTATTAACAACTCATTGTCTGTGTATAATTTTTTTTTTTCCTTTGGACAAATGCCAATCAGGTCCTTTGCAAAGGAGCTACATAGGTTCTCTGTATATTCTAAATGCAGGCCCTTTAGAGATACATGATTTCCAGTTATTTTCTCCCATTCTTCAGATTGTATTAATAGCGTCCTTTGGCATACAGTTTTTCATTTCGATGAAGTTCAGTTTATCTGTTCCTTTTTTTTTTTTGCTTATGCTTTTTGTGTCATATCTAAGAATCCATTGCTAAATCTGAAGTTGCAAACATTTGTCCCTATGTTTTTTTTCTGGAAGTTTTATAATTAGGCCTTTGATTCATTTTGAGTTAATTTTTAGTATGTGGTAAGGGTCCAACTTCATTCTTTTGCTTGTGACTATCCAGTTGTTCCAGCACCATTGAAGAACTGTTCTTTTCCCATTGAATCACAGCCACATGAGTTTATTTCTGAACTCTCGGGGCTGTTCCATGGACCTGTATGTCTTAATTACCATTGCTTTGTAGTAAGTTTTGAATTAAGAAGTATGAGTCTTCCTATTTATTCTTCAAGCTTTGGCTATTCTAGGTCCTTTCCATATAAATTGTAGAATCAGCTTGTCAGTTTCTACAGAAGTAGCTGGGATCCTGATAAATATTACAATGAATACATAGATCAGTTTGGGGAGAATTACCATCTTAACCATACTGAGTCTTCTGGTTCATGAACATGGGATGAACTTTTGATTCACTTTCCATTTAGATTTCTATAATTCCTTTCAATGATGTTCTGTAATTCTCAGAGTATAAGTTTTATGCTTTAATTAAGTTTATTCCTAAGTAGTATATTTTTTATGATGCTATTATAAGTGGAATTGTTTTCTTCAGTTTTTAATGTTCATAACAAGTACTATTGCATTTTGTATATTGATCTTGAATCTAAACAACCTTACTGAACTAATTTATTCATTCTGATACTTTTTTAGTAGATTCCTTAGAATTTTCTCTATACAAGGTCATTTCATCTGCAAATAGAGTTCTTTAAAAAGTATAAGACTTGGCCAGAGCAGGTGTATGCTTTACTTGCAAGAAAGAATGGAGAAAAATGG